TGGATACTAAATTGATGAAAGCTGATATAATCCATATATCAGAGTTGTTGCTGGACCCATCAGTATAAGTGTCCTCACCTGTTTGTTTCTCATTTACTCTCTTTCCTTTCCTCCCCTGCTGTCTTCTGCTTCGTGAATCCATGAAACTCCACTGTCAGCCCTATAAGGTAGACCAGACTAAGAAATCAATGCCATATAGATCAGGACTACTTTTACTGTAACAGCTAAAAAAAAAAAAACTTTTTAGTTTGAAATTGCCTCCCCCCCCCCCCCCACTTTATCTTTGTGTGAATTAGGGAAGGGTTTATCTGAGATGCTTTCTCAAATTTGTTTTTTGGACGGGACCCAAGTCCCACTTGTCTGATTGTTGCCTCTATAGAGGCTCTTCCTCCTGTCCTTCAAGGCCATTCCCTATATCCTCTACTTCAGCACAGGCTTATCCAGGTGCAGAGCCTTGTTAAATTTTTTTCTCCTTTAGGCTAGGCAACCTGCAGGTCATATTCAGCTGCCAGAGCATCCCCCAGATCACATACCACCCAAATTTGGAAGCAAAATCAGCATTACACTTTTTAAAAAAAATTGCTTGTCTTGTAAAAATAAATGACAAAGTTACTCTCAAACTTCAGCCTTATTTTTCTTTTTCTGAGAGGAGGAGAATAAGGAGCAAGTTTTTGAGACTCTCATTTCACCCAATTAAGGTCTCCAAAACACCCCTCAAAATTGGGCACACCAGTTAGTGTTATGATCAGATTTAGGGGTGTCCACAGAGTGTGGTCAAAAAGTCAAGATGGTGGCTGTGACGGTATCCTTGAAGGTTTGCCTGTTTTAATGTGCATTGCCCATTTGTGATGCACATAAAAACCAGGCAAAGCTTCAATGACACCGTCAATACTGCCATCTTGACTTTTTGACCCTACCCTATAGACACTCCTGATCACATTACTGGACTGGGCCCTTGCCTCAGAGGTGATGATACGATATGAAATATCCTGTCCTGTCTGTCCCTGGCTATGAAGAAGCTGGTCTGCTCCTGCCCTAAGTGAAGGTCTGGTTACCGTAGTTCCCAACAAATTGAAAGCACATTGCATTAAGCTTGGCACATATAGGAGCGTGGCATGGTTTCGTCTACTTACAGGGCCGTCTACAAGGCATGGTCAGAAAAGGCAACTGGCAGCTGCAATGGCGCAGTGGAAGCACCACCTGTTTTTATATAAGTCACATGTTTGTGCCATCATTCCTTTTTTTTAACTACCCTGCAAACCCCCTGGCTAGTAAGGCTTACGGACTGTTCCCTTTACTGGTAAACATACTTCTCTCCTACTCCTGCCCTAAAGAGTGAGGGTGAGAGTAAATAGTAGGGCAAAACTTACAGCCTAGACCAGCATTAGCTTTGCTGGTACCTTTATCTACCAGTCCAACAGACTAGCAATATAGCAAGCGTATGCCTTAGGAAGACTCGTTTTTATATGGACATTGTTCTTCTCCTATTCATAAATATTATCCACCACAAATACACCTTCTACTTCTAGCATGGATGAATTGGCCCGGAGGAAAAAAGCATAAATTTCAAGACATTAAAGCAGAGAATACTTGTTTGCAAATGGAGTATGCTTTGTGTTTCTTCTTGATCAGCAAAATTCATTTAAATGCTTCCCATAAACTAAGACATTGATCCATAAGTATATTGCTGTTATTATTCTTTTATTTTAATATTATTCTACTGTTAATTCTATTTTGTTTTATGGTACAAGATCAGCATTCATGTTTATCCTTAACTTTCTGTTTTGTATGCTAAAGCTGCTCTATCTACGGTCACCTAAAAGAAACCGAAACAATCTTAAATACTTAAAAGTTCAGGCCATTTTGCCTTGGGAAAGAAAGCAACTTGCAAAGAATCAGAATTTTTCTAAAATTATTCCAACTGTGGAGCCATTGACAGAGAGATGATAGTCTCCCTCTTCCAATGTTAGAACTTGGGTTCATAAAATGGAAATGATCAAAATTCAGATTTTGGAAGGCAAAATAACATATTTCTTCACACTGTGCATAAAGATGTACTAATGAAATGTGTTGGGCTCATTGCTGTGTATGCTGGAAGCACTGTGGGGCAGTAATATCTCCTGGCCCATCGCTGCTCATCTGAAAGAGCTGCATTTTTTAGACGGGTTGTAGTCAGAATTTTTTACAGCCAATTTATAAAAGTTAGTTGTATTTAGCCTGTGTGTGCTGCTTCAGTTCTTTGCTCTATAACACAGCACTGGCCACTAATTTAAATAGCATTGTATTGTGGTTTAAAAACTTTGAAAGAATGGGAACTACTGTAATTTACTCATCTAAAGCTTTTTTCCACCATGTTTAATTTCCCCCAAAGTAAGGCCTCCCTTCAGGGCCGCTGCAGCCTTTTGGTGCAGCGTTGCAGCAGAAGCTCTGCTCCTGTTGGGTGTGATGTCATGACTCACTAGGAAAAGAGGCAGGGCTTGCACTGTGACCCTTGACCCCCTACGGATGCTGCTGGCTTTCGTAATTTGAGGATAGCCCTGCGCGCTACGTTTTCTGCTTCAGCAAGGGTTCCAAGCAATGCATTCATTTCCTGTAAAAGAGCTCTTGATCAATTTTAATAGTGTAAGTAAGTTTATTGTTGTAACCGCAGGTCATAACATATAATGTACCATAAAATACAAAGGGAAAAAAACCCAGTAGAATAGTAAGATTGCAAAATGGAGTAATAAAAAGAATAACAGATGTAAGAAGGTTAAAACAAGATAAAGCCAGAACTATAACTGTGAACTTAAGTATTTCTTCCTATGTTTAAATGACAGCAAAGCAAAAGTAGCAACTTGGTTGCTGACAGTTGGAAACACGGCTGCAAGAAGATAGTTCAGTTGTTCAAGGTCTGCAATTTTAATCATGGCCAAATAATTAGAAGCATAAAAAGTCAAGCTGGACCTGATGGTTACATAGAATTCTCTTTCCTTCCTTAGGCAGGATACATGTCTGGGATGCTGGTCCCAGTAGGCGTAGGCATTGCGGGAGCCCTGTTCATCCTGGGAGCACTGTATAGCATCAAGATCATGAACCGCCGTCGCAGAAATGGCTTTAAAAGACATAAGCGAAAGGTTGGTATCCCTCTTCAAATGCTCTGAAATTGCTTGAGTGCCCTCCTCGCCCCAAATTATTTAGTCACCTTTAAGATGACTAAAAGGTGTCATCTTATCTTTCAAATCAACAGGCAATGATTTAAAGTAAGTGTTCATTTATTATATTTGTATTGCACCTTTCCTTTAAGGCCATTGAAGATTATTCTTGTGGTTACATAGTGTGATGGACTGGAATGGAGGAAGGGGGGTGAAAACGGTGCTCTCGTCTCCAGAGCAATGAACCTGAGATGAGCGGAGGAAGCTGGCGCATGCCTAA